ACCCCCCCCCCCCCCGCCGTATCCCAAATCTGAGCCTTGACCTCCTTACCTTCGATCTCCATGCTCCGAGTCTGGAACTCGACGCCGATCGTGGCCTTCGAATTGGCGTTGAACTCGTTTCGGGCGTACCGAGAGAGAAGGTTGGATTTACCAACCGCCGAGTCGCCGATGATCACTATCTTAAACAGGTACTCTTCTCCTCCTTCGTCGTCCGACGACATCGTTCCCTTAGAGAGAGAAAGAGATACCAGCTTTAGAGAGAGAGAGGAGTCGGAAGATGCTTAAGAGAGAGTATTACAAGACATCATCCCGCGCATGAAGTGCGGTCATAATAGCCCCATTGTTTTGTTTTATATATTAAACGGTCGTTTCAGATTTTTTTTCACAGTTTTTAAAAGTAAATTTAAAAAAGTTATATATATCATTAAATGATATCCAAATTAATATTCTATTAAAATATGATATTTTAATTAATTAAAAATAAAAATAATTTTTTTTTATTGAAACGGAGAAAGTATAATCTTTTTATTTTATTACACATTAACTTTTCGTAAATTCCTAGTGCAAATTACAGACTTTGTTCCTAAATTTTACAACTGTCTCTTTTTAAATAATTTAACTGAATAACAAGATACTATCATTTCAATGGTTTGAGTACAACATACATATGATATAACCCTAACGAGAAAAAAAATGTCGGAATCCGACGAGGAAGATCTTTCCAACACAACAACGTTTCCACCATAAATGAAAGATGGCATTTTCTTTGTGTGAAGCTAAACTAGTTACTACCTTCACTGGAAGCATTTGAGTTTCTTGGCAGCATCTATGATGCTCTGTTTCACTTCCTGTCTCTGGCACTCGAGCAATCCCTTGAGTACCTCTGCAGATTCATCAATGTCGCTCTCGTTGAATCCAGATTCCGAGCAAAGCCCGAACAGAACCATGTTCACGTCTTCATCCTCCAGTTCAATGCAAAACAGATGGTCGAAAACCTTGGACAACAAAGAAAGAACACTCAGAGAGATCAAAAACTTGCAGCAAAGGCCTAACCCGAAAACCATGTGGGCTAGTTTCGGTCAGATTCTCGAATCAGACCACAAATACACATATAGGACGACATTGCAGGCACCAATTGAATGTGATAATACTCGAATCAGGGAAAGAAGGCACTGACTACTCGTATATTCGGGGCAAAACAATCTATAGACCTACTATATATCGGATCAATGATTAAAAAAATCATTTTTTTCTCACCTTTTTCATCCTTGACACAACCATCTCTTTAACAGCTTGTGACCGTGAGACTAAATTTACGATGAATAGACCGTGTGGCATGAGGGCGTTCTTAACAGAAAGAAGAAATGTCTCTTCGACAAAATCAGCAGCAGGGCATGATAAACCACAGCTACAAACATAAAGCGAAAACCAGTAAAATTAGCGTAAATCATAGGGTGCATTTCGTATATTGCAATGTTGACCTTGGTTTCACCTTGAATCTGCTGAATCAACATCTATAATCAGAATGTCGGCACAAGTAGTATTGCCACTGCCCACATGAGAAACCGCAGAATTCCCATTTGAGCAAGTCGCCTGTGTCTGGGAGGCAACAGTAGAGGCTTTTTCGGGAGAAGATTCAGAGTTTGCGATGTCTTGGATGAATTTGATCCCATCAGCGATATGCACCTTTATTAGCAATAATGACAAATGAGAAAAAAACTAAAAAAGTGTTATTTTCTCTTGTAAAATGTTACAAGTAACAGGAAGCGTTTACCTTTAAGCGATCATTTTGCGAGAAGCCGAAGTAATCCCTGGCAACTTTAAGCATCACAGGATCTAGCTCCACAGCCTATTGAATATGCCATCACATATGATTCAAAGAAACCATTACATTCTTATTCAGTGGTTCAATTGTAAAGTTCACTTCTGTTTTTAAGCCAAAGGCAAACAAAGGTACAAAAGCTTCCTAGACTGGTTGCTTTCTTCTGACTGTAATCTGAAATTACCTCAACTTTGAAAAAAGGTAAGCATCTTTGGAGGAACATGGGGAGCAAACCTGCTCCAAGACCAATTATAACAACATGAACCTGAGAGACATCAAAACATTGTTGGGCCCACACAAGCAAAGGCCACGAACAATAATTAAACAAGGAAGCCAGATTTTCTTGTTGTCAAACATGTGAAAGTAATCTCTTATCCCAGACAACAATGAGATTATAGGTGAAAAAACACATAAACTGGTCTAGTACCAACATAGAATCCTCACCATCTGTCCACTAGATTCAACATTCTTCAGGTAGGAAGATATCAATGTGAATCCAGAAATAATCCCAGCGTGGTAAGAGCTGGCCAAATAATCGTGAGAAACCCTCAAGCAGACATTTGATTCTGAAATGGAGACAGGCAGATGAAGGACTATAAGACATAGCGACCAAAGTTTTAAGTCGACCAAGATGAGGATAGGGTAAGAGAACATGTGAATATTATTCATCCAAAGTAGTAGCAAACAAAACCTAGAGGTAATACGCCAGAAAAGTTTCCAACAATTAGCAGACCCTGGAATTCAAGCCAATAAACTCAATGCTCTCACTATCGTAATCCCCAACTCCATGCCTCAGAAAAATACGCTGACACAAGCATGCAGAATGCACCCAGGAAAATTCTATCAGCAAGCTCTCTTAGCAAATCCTTCCCTTAAACTTCAAAGTTTTCATCATATAATTTATAAAAAAACATCTGGAATTCAAAATTTCAGTAACAGATAAGAGTTCCGATAAGAGAGATGTCGAGCCATATGGGGCATTCAACTTAAAAACAACCAAACACCACAGTTTCAGATCAATCTAGGAGAGCAAGGTTTTACCTTGAATTCGTTTTCTATTCCCCTTTCGTTTCGATTGGGAAGCATTCTTAGATTGGTCAACGTTATCGCTATCCCCTACCAGCAAGGCTTCAGACTGTATCAAACTCTCGGTTCTTTTGAATACAAGGCGTCGAAATGGCAAATCTCCAAGTGAAGCTGAACAATTGGCACTGTTAGCAGTACTTTCATAAACCACATCTTCAATGACCACAGGCCCAGTCATGGGAGAAGTAACCTACAAATTGAAATGCATTGTAAGTAACCATTAACCATAAGAGCCCAGATACACATTTGCCAACCATACGAAGTAACCTACAAATTTCACCAAAAACTGAAGGATACAAGCTTAATAATTGAGGAAAAAAAATAATGTTGGTCATCACTGAAGAAACCAAAAGAAGAGTTCGCAAGCAATAAAAATTGTATTCCAAGTGATAATTTGTGAATTATTCTAGTAGTAAACCTGGTGGACAGTATTACGCTTTTTGATCCCATCACTTGCCATCATATACCTGCAAGCACAACATACAATGCATATGTAATAAGTTAGGTTGGCAAATAAGTCATGACAAAAGAAGTTCAGAGAGCGGGATGGAATCTGATAACCGGACAAAAATTTCCTATACTATGATTCTGTAACTAAAACATCCAATTAATGTAAATAACTTCGTGAAGATTAGATGACTAATATGCTTTTCAAATGACATCATCAACAATATTGACAAGGAAACATGCTACAAAACATTCAGAAAAAAAAAATCAAAGATCTCATTCAACAGTCAACAGCTCATTTTAATGTAAACTTGTAGACAAAACGAAGAAAAACTGAGCCCGTGTAGTAAAAACCCTGTGTGAGATCGAGAACAAAAACTCATTTATCAGAGAAACTGTTAAAAATGGGTAAGTAACACAGTAGAAAAAAATGCAAAATTAATTCTCTCAAAAGGAATGAGGATGTTAATATGATAAGAAAATTGTAGAAAGAACAAGCATTGCAACAAAACCATGGACTATATGGCATCTTGAAGACAAGAAAAGGAACATACGGAATGCGAGATTCATCATCATCATTTCTAGGAGCTAGGTGTTTCACCATTGGAGACAAATCTTTCTGAGAGAAAAAAAAAACACAAGATCAACCATTACTGGAAACAACATATTACATCAGACAAGTCAATAGAAGAACAATCCAAACTGTACTTGGATATCCTCCGTGCTGGCACTACCATGACTACTGTCAAGAAAGACCTTCAATAAGAAAATTAATATTTGTTCAGAATCTCATATGGAGAAAAGATCACACAGACAACATGTTTAATAAGATGAGGCTGAACTTATACAAAGCTACCATTATGAGGCGAGCAGCCTTCGAGCTCTCGACAACCTGCCATTGTCCTTCGTCTGAACAGAACAGCCATTCATGAGCACGAGCCTGAAATTTAACATTAACATTAAGTTGTATGGTTCAAAAGAATAAATGAAATCGGCGGAATAGCAAGCCAAAGTTAACTTTTAAGGATTTGTGATTTCTCACAACCAATGAATGAGTACTTAAAAATTCAACATACATAACTAAATCATGAAACTTGATCTACATTTCCACCTGGGTTCCACAACAATTTATTCCACAGCTAAGACTGGTAAAGCCCAGAAATCCCACAGTTCCACAAATAATAAAACCTTTCCAACAAATAAACCTTCCAAACCTGATAGCGTAGGCATTGAGTTTGTAGCTTGAACTTGGTAGAAAACGCACAAGCACTGTATAAGATTTTTTTAGACACTACCACACTTATTTAGCATCTTGAGTCTTGTTAAAAATGGCATACCTAGGCATCTCCAGTCTATTACTTTGTTAACTCACAGTTTCACAAGCTAGATATAGGGAAAAAAACGCAAGTCAATTATCACTATACTTGATCTAATAAAATCTTTTTATCACCCCTATAATTAGCTGATTATGAGTTGAATAAACCCAAATTATAATGGGTCACAATAAGTCAACCAGGGCATGATGACTGAATAGATAAGGCATACCTTGGGAACAAGAAAAACACCACAATGATACAAGAACTGCTCAGACTGCTTTTGAGCATCAAGAAGCACAGCCCTATAGCAGAACTCGCTGCCCTGACCGCCCAAAGTAAATTTTATCCGCCGCCCTTCGCTGAGCTCTGCCAAATCTCCTTTAATACCAAGTTTCAAATCCTCATCAGAATACAATATATCAGAGCCATTGTTGCACTCCCTACGTATCAGGTTCTCACTCTCAAGGGCTTCACGCATACCAGAGGCCTAAAAGAATATTTTCATACCATACATTATACCAGGGCAGTGTAGTTGTACCATACATTATTAAAAAGCGGAAAAAATATCAGCCAACCGATAGAATTTTATATCTCTAATATGAAACACAAGTTGTCAAAAGTTTTACCTGACTATCATTGCAATCGAGAGATAAGAGATCAAAGGAAGACGTTATCTCATGCAACGCAATGGAATTCTCTTTTTCGGCAACCACCATATATGTCTTAAGGTTTGAGCGTTTTTGAGGGATGGAATGAACAGTCATCGTCCAGCCAAAACGAAACCTTGAAAACAGCAATCCTGCAAAGACTTAAAAATCTGAGCTAAAAACAGATGATGAAGAAAAGAGGATAAAAAAACACATGTCCATCGATCAATTCATCCATGGCGGCAAATTAAAGCTTTCTAAGTACCTAAAACATGAGACTCCGCCAGAGTCAGACAAACAAACTTGCCCCCGGGTTTCAAAACCCGCTTAACCTGATAACACATACGTTATCAGCATTGAAACAGAAAACAATAGTAGTTGATTCGGAATCCAAGGATTTCATATTCAAGAACTGAAATCACAGAAATCCCTTCAATCGTGTAACGATTACACAGTAATATTAGAAAGCCCAATAAAACCTCTGATAAGTACTGATTGCCGAGCTTCGTGCCGACGTCAGGCTCCATCAAAGCATCCAGAGCACCTTTATCAAGAACCGCATCAAAGGAATCATCTGCCAACTGGGTTAAGGAATGAAAGCTCGTAAATGCGAGAACAGCGAGATGCGCGAGACAGCACACAGAAAAAACAAAGCATCCAAACCTGCAAATTTGTTATGTCCGCAACGCGCCAACGCATTTCGGGCCGTGTTCGAATGTTACGACGAAGCATGTCGGAGATGACAACCTTAGAGAAGTCGACATTGGTGATGTCACGAAACCCAGCGTCGTACAAGTGCTCGGAGAGGCGGGAGTTTCCGCATCCTGGAACCAGAATCTGAGGCGAAGTCGCAGAAGAAGAAGGAGAAGAAGTGGAAGAAGAAGAAGAAGAAGAATCCCGGAGGAGAGAGATAAGCGAGTCACGGAGCTGAGGCCACTCAGCGTACCACTCGAACGAATCATCATTGCCTCGAAGAGTGAAGAATTTATCCCAATTCTCTTTGCTGGTGAAGTCCTCTAGGGTTTGCAGGAAATCATCCGTAGAAGATGGGTTTGCTTTGGTTCCTTTCTTCTTCCCCATTTCTGCTGCAACTTGCAAAAACCCTAATCTCGTGCAAGGGTTTTATCCGATCTCCCACTACAAGTCTACAATGCAACAAATCCTGAAATCCAACCAGTATACCCCTAACCGGGTGAACCGGTGAATTCATATTGCAGATTCCATGACGGAAATATGTATATGGATGTATACATGTAATTCTGTAATGCATATTTTTAAATTTCTGCGAAATAAAATAAAATATAGAATTGCTCATTTTCTAAATTATGCTAAAGCACGATTACAATAAAATTAAAAAAAAACGCACACAAATAAGGACTTGATCACAAAGATTTCATCCATCTTGCAAATTAAAGACTTCAAAAATTTAAAATCCACCCCGAGGTTTTTATTTTATTCAACTTTCAATCTCAAGATTAGCAAAATAACATGAACGACCTTGCTTCCTCTGCATTCCATTCCATTTGTTTCGGACATTGTTCAATTTTTCTTGTAAGTTTCCTCTTTCTCCAAACACTCCTTCAATCCACGAACAATCTTATGCATATTCGGCCTCTATGAAGAATTCTGAGAAACAGATGCCAATGCCAATTCCAAAACCTTCCGGATAGAGTTCGGATCAAACTCTCTCCCCATTTTCGGATCGACGATGAAGTTCACGTCATTTTTAGATGACAGAACAGATACCACCCTGTCACTGACATGAACACGTTTCGATTGAGGTCCGTTAATGGCGTTTTGACCCGTTATCATTTCCAAGAGAACGACTCCGAAACTGTACACATCGCTCTTCTCGTTCAACCAGTTTGTCGCATAGTACTTGTAGTTTTTATACAACAAAAACGATTAAAAAAACATGAATCTTGATGAACACACAACATATATACATGTATATGGATAACGGTCTGAAGAACACTGACTGTGGATCGAGATAACCAGGTGTTCCTGCGACTAAAGTGGACAGATGAGATCGGCTTTCTGTCTGAAAACTCTTCGAGAGTCCGAAATCTGCTAACTTTGCTCAGTCTGTTCGTGCTGTTCAATAAGATGTTCGATTTTTTCACATCTCGATGAACTATAAGAAGTTTGCATCCCAAGTGAAGATATTCAAGCCCTTCATGAAATTTTAAAAATTTAAACACATTAGATCTCGAGATATCACCGGATAACGAAACGAGAAAAAGTTTGGATCTTTACTGACGTTGTGCTGCATCTAGTGCGGTCTGTAATCGCTGTGACCAGTTCAATGTATAACCATACTTTCCCGACAAATGATCTGCCATGTTTCCATTAGCCATGAACACGTAGATCAAACCAGTGTGGTCGGTATCGTGGAAATACCCGACCAGCTCGGTCAGGTTTACATGATGAACCCTCATGAGAACCTCAACCCGAAATTCACAGGTTTACTTCTCTTCAAACTAGTAGATTTTGTAAATGTTATGAAGATTAGATTTTATGGAATACCTCGGAGCGAAATTCTTTGTAACCTTGTGATGATGATTCAGACAACAGTTTAACTGCAACTTCGACGTTGTCCAAAAAGCCATGATACACTGTTCCGAACCCTCCTTTACCGAGGATACGAGCGAAGTTGTTCGTCATCTTGACAACCTCTGTGTATGTAAACAACTTGTTTTGTGAAACCACTTAACCTTTTTTAGTTCCTCTATCTGCATCTTCTTCCACTGTAGAGTTTTCTTCGAGCAGTTAGCTCCTTGTAAAACTTATAGAGTTGTTCCGATAAATCGATAGATAGATGGATAGATATGTATGTGTACATATGTATATATACCGGCTCGTTTGGTTATCCTCTCGTGTCTCCAGAACAAACCTAACAAAACCACGAGGACGATCAAAGTTGCCATTGATGCAACCAGTGGGACAACGAATTTCTTGTCGCTTCCACACGATGTTTCAAAACAGAGTCCTGGATTGGCTCCGACCCTTCCATCGGTACGTTTCAGATTACAGCGAAAATCAAGATTTCAGTAAAATTTCAGCGGATTTTGTATGGCAAGAGAACTGCAAGGTGAAGTTATACCTTAGTGAGAGTTGTCCGCTCTTCGATCTTTCCAACAACTCGGCTGGAACTCGACCCGTTAGCTTATTCTGATCCAGAATTCTGATAAAATTAATCTTTACACTAAGCAGATCCCGTCGGTATATGGCGTCTGGATAAACACTTTATGGAATGTATAAACTTACAAGACCCTCAAAGAATGCAGTTTTGTCAGAAACTCGGGTATGTCTCCAGTTAAGAAATCTCATGTAATGGTTCTTGCCTTTTCCTCCAACGCATCGAACGTGTTACACATAACCATATCAGCTTGCTCGATGTTTGAGAACTGATTCACCTGAACCCTGAAGATCGCAGGGTAAGAGCTCGGGTCACTGACGAGAGATGGCAAATCGCTACGACTCAGTTTCGGCAACGAAGGAAACGACGTTAAATCCAGGCACTCAGCTCCTCCAGACGTTAAACAGAAGTCACCATTCATGGCATGATAGTATATTACGTTCACGAACAACCAAGCTTGCGTGACCAACCCACTGCTCCTCGCTATATCCAACGCCCAAGGAATAGCGGAATCGTAAACGAGAGCTCTGGGAGGAAACTCGGAGCAACTCAGCTCCTTTATCAGCTCGGGCAAGCGTTTCGTGACGCTGCGTTGAACTCTGTCAACGATCTCGTCCAAATCTCGAGGCTTTTCGCCTTCTTCGAAGCCGTTGGAGATGTCGTGTTGTGTTCTGTAAGGGCTCGAAGGCTTGTCGGAGATGGAGATGAAGGTGACCTTCATCATCCCCTTCCAAGCTAAGCGTTTGGAGAATTGGATCATTGGGTTAATGTGACCTTGTGCTGGGAATGGTAAGCAAATTACATGACCTCCTTCTCTCCCGCTCTCCTCCATTTTTCTTCTCTGGTTTCTCCTCCTTCTTCTTCTTCTTCCTTTTTTTTTTATGGAACCTTTTTTGCTCTGTTCTGTGTTGGCATGACCTTGATCTTGATTTTTTTTTTTTTAATATCATCACGTGGCCAAAAAAAGTATCTTAATCGCTCACATGCGACATGTTTCGGTACCATGTTATAAGATTTGATTGAATGCGACTCTAGAACTAGATAAGGCACTAGGACATCATTTTATGTATCATTGAGATTTAAATTTTGATATCATATTTATGAGTTTTTGAATATCCAAAAAAGTATTCGAGTATCCGTGTATTTCTAAATCTAATTTGCATATAATTTGGATTTATGATTTTAAATTCGAATACGAATTGCTGAGATACCCGTGTACCGAATATTTTTACCCACTTTATTATGAAATAATATAAAGATTATTAGATTTTTTAGATAACTTTTTTTTTGCCGTACCTCAGCATATTAATGAATTTATGTCGATATATCTATCAGTTTTGGCCTCAAACTGACAGCCCATGTGTACAGACATCATCTCGAATCTCGTCCATACGTACACATATATATACACGCACACATACATACATGCATACATGCATGGTGAATGGAAACGATAAATATCCAGAGTTTGTAAAATGTGTAGTTTAATCTCTAATGCGTTGCGATTTATTTGAAGAAATCGAAGAGAAAAAATAAAATCAAACATAAATTCGGACAAAATCGATCATTGGTTTTACTTGCTGGTATCTGAATAGATAATTCTATGTTAAATTCTAAATATAATTACGATATTACCCATCGATTTGGATATTCTTCAAGTTCCGAGGAGAGGGAGGAGTGTGAGTTGGAAGGACACGCGGGTCAAAGTGGTCAAGTCGGTCGATGAAAGTGAACGAAATCTTTTATATAAAAATAATAATTAGACGATTTAGTTAAAAAAATTTGTTGAAGTTTCATTGAAAAACCAGTGCCGCACATTCAGAGGGCGCACTACTAACCGTCCAAATTCGATCTTCATGCAAAAAAAAAAAAAAAAAAAAAAAAAAAACTTTATAGAAAATGACCTCTCCTAAAATCATAACCCCCCTTTTTTTTTTTTACCAATTTATTTACTCTACTATCTATTTAGTAAAATAATTCCCATATTTTTCAACACCATTTTTTTTTGAAAACTCCTTCAGTTTCTAGTTTTTCTTTTCACTGTAAAAAATATACGAAATTTTAAATTTTGCCCAAAAACTCTCGCACGTTAATTACATCGACTGTCTATCATCGAAAATTTAAAATTGCCAATAAATTATACAAAAAACAAATCATGTTGTAAATAACGAAAAGGAAAACAGCTAACGCATTTTCGTAGTTTTTGCAAAAATTCCTGATTTTTCCCGTGAATTATAATTCTGGTTTTAACGTCCATAAACCGAAATTACATGTAAACGAGAAGATAAAAGGTCCCATGCAAGAGTTACAATTTCCTCACGTGATAAATGGGAAGGAGACAGAAGCAGGAGATTAGGTGTATATACGACCAATGCAAAAAAAAAAAAAAAACACATTGAAATCTCATGTATAAATATACCAAGACCTCACAACCATTATTCATCATCAACATCATCTTCTGTCTTTAACCAAAAAAAAAAACCCATCATCTTCTGATAAAACAATGGGGGAAGAGAGTGGAAATGGAGGAGGAGGGGGAGGTGGTCACGTGCTGGTATTTCCGTACCCGATACAAGGCCATATCAACCCAATGATCCAGCTCTCTAAACGGCTCTCCGCAAAGGGGCTGGCCGTCACTCTCGTCGTCGCCTCCAACGAGCAGTCCGACCCGTACGTGGCCGAGTATTCCATCTCCTTACGCACCATCTTCAACGGCTTCGACCAACACGACCACCCTCTCGTCATGCTCCGACGCACCCACCGTTTCAACGACTGCACCTCTCGCAGCCTCTCGCAGTTCATCCAAAGGTATAACCCACCTTCATCATCATCACCACCACCGTCATCATGTTTGTACACTAAGATGGATGGATCAGGCCCCATATATCTATGAGGTGGATAAACTCACTAATGATTAGCTACCATAAGGGTATTATTGTAATTTTGTATATTCACGTTTAACCTAGTGTTACGTCTTATATATAACTTGTTTAATATCGACAGTGAAATGTTATCGGAGCGACCCCCGAAAGCTGTGATATACGATCCGTTCATGCCGTGGGCACTAGACGTGGCCAAGGACCTGGGCCTTCGTGCGGTGGCTTACTTCACTCAACCGTGGTCGGTCAACCTCATATATCATCACATCAACGAAGGCACATACCACGTCCCGACATCCAGACACGACCATCCCACGTTGTCGTCGTTCCCGGCATTACCGCTGTTGAGTCAGAAGGATTTGCCGTCGTTTGCTTGCGAGTCGGGATCGTACCCTCATCTCTTCGACCTTGTCGTTAGCCAGTTCTCGAATTTCCGTCGAGCCGATTGCATTCTCTGCAACACATTTGATCAACTCGAAGATAAGGTGGGTCTAATGTATAATATCTGTACAACGTTATATTGATAGAAAAATACAGTAGACAACTCTGTTAACTCGTATACAATATTACGATTATACGCTTATACAATGTTATCGATAGGAAAATACACTATTACGATTATACCCATACAAGTAACATACGTATATCAATCTATTTTTCCTTTTTTTTTTCCTTCATGAACATTCTATCACAGGTAATGAAATGGATGGGAAAGGAATGGCCAGTGAAGAACATAGGACCGGTGGTGCCGTCGAAGTTCTTGGACAACCGTTTACCGGAAGACAAAGACTACGGTCTCGGTCACTTCAGGCCGAAGCCTGGCGGCGACGCGATCAAGTGGCTGCAGACCAAACCGTCTAAGTCGGTGGTTTATGTCTCGTACGGAACGTTGGCCGCTTTGGACGAGAAGCAGATGAAGGAGATCGCTTTCGGGATGAGAGAGAGTGGATTTTCCTTCTTATGGTCTCTGAGAGACTCCGAGCGAAACAAACTGCCTCATGGTTTCTTGGAAGAGGTACGGACTCTCTCTCTCTCTTTTTTTTTTTTTTTTTT